CCGTGGTTGTTGCCTTCCCTTTACCCTGCACCGTGCTGAGCACATTCATGAATCATCTTCCTCCGTCCTCTCCGCCGTGGCACGACGGCCTGTGGCCGTGGTTTTACAGACGAGAGTCAGAGAAGGTTAGCACCACGTTCAAGGTTGCGTCCTGTGCTGTCCGGCCCCAAAGCCTGGGTCCTGTGGGCTCTTCCCCAAGCCACCCCCCCACGCGTGCTCCAGGCTGGGCGTACACTTGCAAAAGGAGCTCACGGAGTGCCTGAGAGCACGGAGGAGCTCGCACATGCCAGCTGGAGGCCTGGGCTCTTGTCACCTCTGCTCTGAGTTGGGTCCAGAAGCTGGACTTGGTCTGTTTAACCCTCAGACACAGTTCCAGGCTGCGGGATGCACAGGCAGCCCTGCCAGGGAAGCCAGTGCTCCCGTGCCCAGGGCAGTCCCGCTCAGTGCCAGCCCGTCCCAGGCAGGGAAGCGAGTGACCGCCCCCAGGCCCCAGGGCCAGCCTTGACAGGGCTGTGCAGTGTTCCCTCAAAGTTGCAGCTGGCTCACACTCTCTCTCACTGGCTTTTTAAAACACTACCTGCTTAATTTTCTTTTTTTGGAACCTGGGAATAAAGACCAAGCCCCTAGGGGAAAAGGCTCATTAGTCTCTTATTGATTCGAGATTTAGTAGAGTAGCAATTATGTATTACTTGAACTGGAGCATGCTATCATTTTGCTGGCCTGGATTCCCCAGCCAGAGACACCACACAGCTGAGGCGGCGGGGTCTGACCGTGGGCTCCGCCGCTGAAGCCCGGCAGCCTGCAGACGGGGCTGTGCGTGGGCGAGGGGGGCGGCCCTCGTCAGGCCACCCCGACTCCCACAGCACCCCACAGGGCAGGGGCAGGAGGGAACGTCTGGGACGTGCCACCTGTCCACACACGTACCCCCACCCCAGCACGGGAGCTGACCCTCAGCCTTCAGCCCGCCCAGCCTCTGGGGGCAGCTGGCCCACTCCACTTCTGTCCCCAGTCGGGCGGTTCCCTGTGCCTCAGCCCATGGGGAGGAGGCAGGACTCGGCTCTGCTACTCTCCCCGGTTCCTTTCCCTGCCCCCGGCAGCACGGCTATTCAGTTAGTCAGACGGTATTTATCGAGGGTGGCCCTTCAGCCTCGGCAGGCCGACCTGGGACGGAGTGTCAGGTGCATCACCGGGAGCACACGAGGCCTGGGCCTCGCCGTCCCGGCGCCATGGTGCTCCACACGGCGCCCTGCCGGTGATGGTTACAGGAATCCGGGAGCCGGAAGGTGGGCAGGAGTCAGATGGGGAGGGGGGGGGTGGGCTGAGGCGGGTGGAGACAAAAGACACCCAGCACACTGGTCTGAGGGGCAGCGAGGGCACCGGGGGTGCTGGGGCGCCACGACCGAGGTCTGGGTCCTCTGGCCCAGAGCCAGCTGGCAGGACCTCCTGCGACGATGCAGATGTTCGCTTCCGTGCCATTCCACATGCTCTCCACCACCCACGTGTGGCTGTGGAGCACCTGAAATCTGGTTAGTGTGACTGCGGAACTGGGTTTTTCATTGTATTCGATTTTAATTAATTTTAATTTAAGTAGACATGTGGCTGGTGGCTACCACATTAGATTGCAGGTCTAGAAGAGAATCATGCAAGGTTTTTGAACAGGGCACAGGGGTGTCGCTGATAATAATGACCGGCACTTACTGAATATTTCTTATGTGCTGGTCGCTCTTCGTGTGTATCTCAGTTAACCCTCAAGACAGCCCGGGGATCAGTATTATCCCGTTTTACGACGAGAAGGTCTGAGACTTAGTGAGCTGTGAGTGGCTTGCCCAAGGGCCCGCCCAGGCCTGCCCCACCCCACAGCCCGTGCCCAGAGCACCAGGCTGCGAACAGGCTCAGAGCTGTGCTTCTGGAAGTTAACACCGGTGGCAGTGCAGGGCAGCACGAGGTAGAGGCCCCAGGAGGACCACGCTCTAAGTGATCCAGGGTTGACACAGGAGAGGATGAGCCCATTTCTAGGGCTCCCCATGTGTAGAAGCAAAAGAAGGGTCACTCTCCCGGTCAGGGGCCATGTCCTCCCCAAATCCCTACGCTGCAGCCCCAGCTCCAGTGTGATGGCATTTGGGGGTGAGGCCTTTGGGAGGCAGCTAGGCCTCATGAGGCCATGGGGGTGGGTACCCACGCCGGGGTTGGTGCCCTGGTAAGAGCAGGAGGAGACCAGAGCTCTCCCTTCGCCCTGTGAGGGTGCAACGAGAAGGGGCGAACGTAAAGGGCCCTCACCAAGACCCTGACGGCACTGGCACCCCCATCGAAGTCCCAGCCTCCGGGACTGGGAGATGGGTGTCTGTTGTTTAGGCCCCCTGGTGTGTGGGGTTTTGTTGTAACAGCCCAAGCTCACTAAGACAGGGGCAGAAGCCACACACACACCCACCTTTGCTCAATGTGCAGGGCGGGGAGGCCCCAGAGTGGGAGGGAGGCTGTGGGGACGCCACTGGGCCTGAGCGCCCTGCCTGCGGCTGGAAACCCCTCTCCGGAGACGAGCATTTTTTAATATTTTATTTATTTATTTTTGGAGAAAGGGGAAGGGAGGAAGAAAGAGGAGAGAAACCTTGATGTTTTCAAGAGATACCTCAATCGATTACCTCTCACACGCCCCCTACTAGGGACCTGGCCCACAACCCAAGCATGTGCCCTGACTGGGAATCGAACCATCGACCTTTCAGTTCGCAGACCAGCACTCAATCCACACCAGCCAGGGCTGCCCATTCATTTGAGAGCCATCAGCCACACTCGCAGGCATATGAACCAGCTCCTTGAAGAGCCATGGGCACCAGCCTGACACCAGGCCTGGGAGAGCTTTATCCAGCTCTCCTGAGGTCCGGAAGAAAGGAGCCTCCCACATCCCGATGGTCCCTAACTAGCAGCAGGACCTCAGGCAGTCTTTAACCTCTCTGAGCTTCAGTTTCCTCATCTGTACAGTGGAGATCCTAACTCCCGATCCTTCCTCCTTTGTTGCCTGGCACAGACAGTTGCTTGGGAAAGGGTAGCCACTGGTCTCCTGTTCTCTCCTTATTCCCAGCACCACTGTCTCACAGGGAGGGGGCAGAGCACTCTGTGTTTGGAGAGTGAGCTGTCAGCAAACCCTGTAAGCACGTAGAAAACTTCCTAGGAAAATCTCACCCCTTTTCACATGTGCACTAGTCACTTATCCCGGGTAGTGGGAATTAGCAGGGAAACCGGGCACCTGGCTTCTCACCACCCTCCTCTCTCTACCCCTGGGAGGAGAGGCCTGTGTGTGCTTCTTGAGGCCCACCTTATGGGCTCATGGGGGCCCTGCCCCAGAGGTAGAAGGGTTGGGGGCAAGCGTCGTGAGGAGTGTGAAGTGGCAGCTCCAGTGGAGAAGAGAGAATCTCCAGACCAGGCCAGGGATTGTGGCTTGGGGCCCTGGGGGCTGGGCTGCCGCGCCCCCCGGAGAGGCTAAGCCCCGGGCTGGCACGAAGGCAGCCGGCCCCTCCCGTTACTGAGGGACAGCAGCATGGCAGTGAGCACCCTGGACAGGGGACCCTCCCAACATGTGCTGCACCTCGGGAGACCCAAGCCAGGACCCTCGTGGGAGCTGGGAAGGGGCCCCAACTGTGACAGCAATGGACTGACTGTCTTGCTGGCCCAGGGAGCTGAGGGCTTGGAGAAGATGACATTTTATTTGGAGAAACAGAAGGAAAGTGACATTTCTCATACCTGAGTATTGGACGGTGGCAAATGCATACGCCCCGAGGATGTATCAGAGCTTGCCTTCCGCCGAGAGCGGGCTGCCACCTGCGGCGCTGGGCTCAGCTGCCCAGTCAGGCAGTGACGACAGGCTCTGGGAAGCCAAGTCGGTGACATTTCCCTCTCCGTGGAGAGGTGTGCCTCTTGCTCAGTTGGCAGCCTGCAGAAAGGACAAGCAATAGATCCAGCCTCCCTCGGTGGAGGGGCCAGGTGGGGGGCAGGAGAGAACCCCCAGCCTGCAGGAACTGGCAGCTTCCCCATGGTAGAAAGGTGGATTAGCCCTGTGTGACAGTCCTCAGAGGAGGGCCTGCTGTCACCGAGTCGAACTCCCCCCGTTAGCCGGGAGCACGTCTCAGCCCCACCCAGGCCCCTACCTTCTGGCGCATTTCATCTGGCCTTTCCCAGCACCGTGTGCTGCCGGGCATTTGGGGGAAACCAAGTACATATTTAGAAGTTACGAGCTTCAGCAGCACTGCAGAAGGAAAACCACTGCAGACACTGGGTTCTGGCTCCTTATGGGTCCGAAGAAATTTTATGATGGCTTGAGAGTCACACCTGAGGTGAACTTGCTGGGCGAACTTGGCAAATTCTCACCCTGCTCTGAGCCCCAGATTCCCCACCCGTAAAATGGGCCTAAGGCTTGTGTAGGAGGACTCCTGGGATCACCTGGTGAAGGGACTTGGCGTGAAGTGAGACCTTGAGCTGTCACTGGTATTTCTCACCGTATCTTCCCCTCACCTGGTCAGACATGTGTGTGGTGAGGTTTCCGCGTGTTTATACATGGATGTGTGTTTTCTTTGTTGAATAACATCACCTCCTGCCCACATTGCCGGGAATGGACACGCTCTGCCGTGTACGGGGCACGTCGTATTCTGCTGTGTGTGCTCCAGTCTCCCGCTGGGACGGGCGTTTGGGTGCTTTCCAGTTCTCTGCTGCTGAACAGGATGCAGCTGTGGAGATCAGCAAGCTTGTTTTTGCTGTGCTCCTGCGGAACGTACTTGTAGGGGCGAGTCTGTACCGTGGCAATCCCTGGGCGGGCACATCCATTGTGCCCCGAAGCTACCCATGGACTTTGGATGACCCGTGCCCTTTGGGTTGTCTGTACCCTTCTGGCCTGAAGCAAAAGCCGTCCCCTCGGAATGCAGCACAGGGCACCTCGCTTACAGTGTTCCCAGCCCCTCAGCGGAGAAGGAAGCCGCTGAAGTGTTCACCCTCCTGTGTCCTCTCTCTTGTAGAAAGTCTGCACCAAATGTGGGATCGAGGCCTCCCCTGGCCAGAAGCGGCCCCTGTGGCTGTGTAAGATCTGCAGTGAGCAGAGAGAGGTAGGGTGCCCAGGGCGACCGGGCGGGGGGCCTGGGGCCGGGTCTGAGCCCACCTCATGTGGGGAAGTTCATGGTTGGGCATGGGGGGGACTCCTCTGGAAGTCAAGGAGGACCTCTCGGGGCGGCCAGGGAGAAGAGTGGGAGGGGTCAGCTGCTGGCTTGCTTGTTTTCAGGGTGCAGGGGTGGCAGTGGGCCCCGGCTCTGCTGTGCCTGGGCTCTGGCTTCAGTGGGAAGCCCTTCACACTGAGTGGAGGTCATGTGGCATTGGGAGGGGCATCTGTTGTTATAGCAGCAGTAATGGCCACCCCAGGTCGAACGTTTATTATGAGCCTGGCACTGTGCTCAGTTATTTACATGTATGAATTCATTCCATCCTTTCACAGCCCCTGTGTGGCTGCTATTATTATCCCTTTCTACTGACGGGAAGTGGAGACTCATGGGCACCGAGCTGGATGGTGTGGGAGCTGGAAATAAATGCAGCCGTGGTGGGCTGCGATGCTGCCCCCTTCCCACCGAAGTCCCTTCTGGTGCTCAGGCTCTGTGGTTCTAGTTCTGACCCCTTTCTAGGGCAAGAAATGGGGGCTCAGTGAGGCAGTAGCCGGTGGGGGGGCTCGAACCTGAGTCTCCTAACCCCGAACCCAGGGCTTCCCTCACTGACGCTTCCCCCAGCATCCGTGGTGGGCCGAACCAGAGCAGGACGTCGGCAGGCTGCTTCTGGGGAGGGTCTGATGCAGGGGTGGGGGGCCAGAGCGAGCCCGGCAGAGGGGACGTGCCCCTGATTTTCCAGATGTGGGTTTTTTCTTTATTATCTTGCTTGGCGCTTGGTTTGAGCTTTTCATCTGAGGGTCCAGACAACGCCTTCAGTGATGGGACCTTCTCAGCCAGGCTGTCCTTGAACGTGGCTGTGCTGCCCTCCCCTGTCTCCACGGCTGGGAACCCAGTTGGACACCTTGCAGGGCCTCTCAGTCCATCCTCCGTGGCTCCCAACCGCGCTTGTTCATTCCTTTGTCTTTCTGGGCTGCTTTCTGGGCGAATGGTTCGGTGCAGTCTTCCAGCTCACCAAGTCTCTGGGCCACCTCCCAGCCATTGGTGGTGTTGATTACCTTTCTTAGCATCGGCTTTTCTCGGGTGTTTTGGGGTTTGGGTCTGCATGGTCATCTTGAATAGGATCAGTTTCCCCCCCTTTCTCTGCCGGCTCATCACCTCCACCCAGGCCCACCTGGGCACCCCCCACCACCACCCCAGCACAGAGCCAGGTGACTCTGGGTAATGAGGAGCCGTGTGGCCGTGGCGATAATGGGCCCAGAGCCCTGGCTGCTGCTGCTTCCACAGCGTGCACACTCTTGGTGTGCACACTCTCAGGTAAGCTCTAGTTGGGGGGGCAGGTGAGGGATCTCTGCACTTATCAGCCTCTTTCACCAGGGGGGAGACCTCTTCACCAGCCCCCATTTTCAGTGACTCTGGCTCTGGTCCCCCACCTGCCCAGCACACACCCAATCCCTGTGCCCTGGACCACCAAGCCCCCAGGTGCCTCCACCTGCTTCAGAACCCAGAGCTCCACAGGCTGCGCCTTCGCAGCTCCTCAAAAGAGTAGATATTTGGAGTTTCTCGCCTACTGAGATATATGCCCTGTTTTTAAACACAGATAAGTTTACCTGTTGTGTTTAGAACGGTTTCTTCTGTCACTGCTGTGTGTTCAGAACAGGAAAGCTCAACACGTGAACTCACATCCTGTCTTGCCAGGAGGTCCCTGATCGCTCGCCCCGAAGTGGAGATGCCAATCTCTGTTTCTTAGAGAAGCTGTAAGAGTTCGGGAAGGCTGGGAAATGTACAGAGCGCCCATATGGCACCGCATAGTTACGCTGTCAATGTTAGGGGCCTCCCTCTGTCCCCCAGGCAGAAGTGCCCCCTTTGAACCTGAGGTCCTCCTGGTCTTCCAGGGTCCCCATTTAAGATGCCAATATTGATGAGAGAGGAAATTTCTCAAAACGGTATCTTGTGGGATACCATGGGATAACGGTATCTCGTGGGACACCTTAGCCGGATGAAGTCACAGCTGAGCTGTTAGAGGACAGAGAAGAAGGCGCTGTCATGGAAGAGAAGGTGGATGCAGGGAAAGACGAATGTGGCGGGCTGGTGACCCAGTGGGGGGCCGCAGAGGCAGGGTCCCTGTCCATCCCCGCCACGAGCTACCCTGGTGTCCTTGATGGTCCTGAGATGCCACCCGCAGGGCCCACCACCAGCCCATCCTAATCTCCGGGGCACTGCGGTGCCCAGAAAAACCTGAAATAGCTGAGGGTGAATTTTCTTCTCTTTGCTAAGGCAGAAAAGATTAGGCTGTGCATTTTGCTATCAGTTTGTCCTTGCATTTCCACAGTCCAGTTAACTGAGCAAGACGAAGGATGCCACATCCGGCTCTGCAGGACCCGGCTGGCTGTGGATGTTCAGTAGGCGTGGATGGACTGTAAAATGTGCGTGCCCACGAGCCTGGGTGCCCGTGGGTGCTGCACCCAGGTGCTGCCTTTTCCAGCCTGCTGTGGGGGTGGGAGAGTGACAGCCTAATTGGTTTCCTAATGCCTTTTTTTCCTTAGGAAGATATCTAATCACAGCAGAGAAATAGCTAAATAGAAAGAGCATTTAAAATGTCACTCTAAGTGCCACATAGATAGCTGGTCTGAATCTGTGATAAAAGTGAGGAGCTCCGCCCTGGCTGGGGTGGCGCAGGGGCTGGGGTGGCGCAGGGGCTGGAGCGCCGGCCGGGAGCCAAGGCCGTGCCCACTGGATCCCAGTCAGGAACCGAACCGGGCTGCCTGCCGCCGCCCCCTCCCCCCAGCTTTGGGGGCATGCGAGGGGTAACTGGTTGATGTTTCTCTCTCACACCGGATGTTCTTCTTCCTCTCTTTCTCCCTCTCTTTCCCTCTCTCCAAAAATAAATAAACAAAATCTTAAAAAGTGAGGAGTTCTGTCCTGCCGTAGAAGCCACATCCCAAAGGAAGAACTTAAGTTTTCTGATGGAGGCTGGTGTACCGCTCTGCCCAGACACTCTCATCTTCCTTTCTTCTGGATGCTTCACTTCCATGACCTCTGGCCTTTAAATACTTTTTAATTCCGGAGTGAGATGAGCCCTGGCTCCACGTCCCTGGGCTGTCAGTGTAGCTTCGCTGGCTGTCCTGCGTGCCGCAGCAGGGCGGCGGTGTGGGTGGTGGCCCTCTGCTCTCGGGGGCTGACAGCGATGCAGGTGTCCACACAGGCACTGGGCACACGTTTCCTGGGCATCTTCCATGGGCGGGCGGGCGAGACAGCTCTTCTGGTGGGAGGGAGACCGCAAGCACAGTAAAGTCAGTGCTGCTGTGTCTCAGGTGGTCACAGAGTGCTCGGGACGAAGGCAGGAACGGGTGCTGGGAACAGTGGGGGCAGCTGTTACTTTCTGTGGGGGGTCAGGGAAGGGTTTCCTGATCAAATGATATTTGAGCAGAGCTTGAAGCATATCGTGTGGCTGTAGGCATGGAAAGCATTTTAAATGGAGGGCATAGTGAGTGCAAAGGCCCTGAGGCAGGCGTGTGCTCCATAGTTTTGAGGAATAGCCAGGAGACCAGTGTGGCTGGCTGTAGTCGGGGTGGGGACAGGAGGTCGGAGACGCGGCAGGGGGTCAGAGCGTGCTGGGCCTCATGGACCATTGTCAGGACTGGCTTCTACTCTGAGGGAAGTGGGGAGCCTTTGAGGGTCGAAGTGGGGGACACACATGACCTTCACCCTCGTTTTAAAGGCTGCTCTGGCTGCTGCGCTGAGAATAAACCGTGGACTATAATGTCAGAGTCAGTATTATGATATTTTATCTTATTTAATATTGCCCCAGATATTTAAGTCCTTGACTATTGTTTCCTTAGGAGTTTTCATTTTAAAAAAATATTAGATACATTTTACCCTTTTCTGATTATAAAGTTAATATGGATTGTTGACATTTATAATGTGTAAAGTAATATACACCCCAAATATCCATAATCTTACCATGTAATCACTGTTAACATTTTGGCACATTTACTTCCGATCTTCTGGTTTTTCCTTTATATTGTTGAACCCATGCTTTACAATTAGCATATATAACTAGTTCTCAGTGTGATCAATAACTCCCTGTAAACATTCTGCCATATGGACATTCTGCTAACTTAAGACGTCTGTTTCCTTTTCCCCTCTCACGAATAACTGCACTATCTGTCTGCATGCGTAGCTTCTTGGCCACATTTTAGATGACATCAGAATGGATCCTTAGAAGGGAAAAATAAACATCAGTGTCTATATCCCCTCCTTTCTTATAGACACTTGAGTGATTACTATGGATTTATCTCACAACAGGCTGACATGTGATTTTAATCCTTTTAAATAAGACACCCTGGCTGGTGTGGCTCAGTGGATGGAGTGAGGGCTGCAGACCAAAGGGTCGCCAGTTCGATTCCCAGTCAGGGCACATGCCTGGGTTTCGGGCCAGGTCCCCAGTGGGGGCCATGCGAGAGGCAGCCACACATTGATGTTTCTCTCCCTCTGTTCTTCCCTCCTTTCCCCTCTCTCTAAAAATAAATAAATAAAATCTTTAAAAAATAAATAAAAAACAGTAAGAGCACATCGATGTATGTTTTCTCTGTCTTTGCTATGTGATAATAACTGCAGCCTTTATACAAAGAAGACAACTCAACCGATAATACAATTGGCCATAGTCATCCCCACTGGGACTCCTGTGGGTTTGCCCCCCTGTCCGCTCACCACGTGGGAAAGGGCCACCAGGAGGGAGAGGCAGCCGGTGGGGCATCAGCACCCAGAAGCTAGAGATGATAGTGAAGCCGTGAAAGAGATGTAAACAAGGTTTTAAAGTTAATTAAAAGGGATAAGAGAAGGAATAGAAACCAAATTCAACAAACAGGACCTTTGAAAAAAGAATGAGCACATTTGGAAAAGAAACAAATGAACCGTTTTCATCTCTGAAAATGAATGTCGTTAATGAATTT